TTGAATAAAATTATCAATTATTTTATTTCCAGATGTCCAAGTAGTAAAAAGATTCTGTAATTGTAAATTAATACAACTTTCACAGAATCTATCAGAGTATCTTGTCAAATTACACTTGTTACATTCTTTTGGTTTTCCTATTTTGTTCATTGCATTACTTAACTCAAACATATAATTAAATACTTTTATGCAATTATCTTTTTCATTTTCAGAAAGCTCCTCATTATTTTCAACTAATGAAAACACATAATCTTTTCTACTTTCTATATCAGAATTAACAAAAGCATTAAGATATATTTCACGATAAATTTTAAATACAAATTTTTCTCTTTCTGGTGTTTCCAGTGATAATAATTTATAATGATACAACATTATATAAAAGCAAATGTTTTATAAAATTTAAAATTTGACTACATATTGAATATTTATTTAATTCTTTATAGATCGAAAATGATCTACAATAAATTGATTAATGTTGCACGATAAGCATAACGAACCAATAAATTAAAAAAAAACTTGGAATTATACTTAAAAGGAAGGTCTGGATTATTTTTAAGGAGTATTAAATTAGAATGAAACCTAATGAAAGAATTATTTAGCAAGCGAAATATTGTGTTACTTGGGTGTGGCTCTATAAATTAGAGTGAAACCAGCAAAGTGGCTAGTGAAAGATAATTTAGAACGTATATATATATATTTACCTTTTATCCTCAATCATTTGAGACCCCCGACACGATTTATATTATCTATTTCCTTTGATGGAATGACATGTGTAACATCTTTCATATATTATTAGATCTACCCACTCTTTTTGGTCACATTTTTAACCTTTTATTAAATTGCTTATTTGATTTTCTCTATCAAAATTAATTGATAAATAATTAAATAAATTATTAATATATAAATGAAAAGGGCAATTGCAAGAACAACTTCAATATCAAAAAAAATTCATAATCATAAAACTCTAGTGATTGATTTATCGCGCGATAGGATTTAGCAACTTCAAAATTTTAAAATTACAATAGCCTGTACCTAAACCTGTTTAATGTACTATGTAAAAGTTATTATACATGCTAGTATATGTGCGTTTTAAACTCAGCCACTAAAGATAGCTCAAGCATGCTTTATTTTATTGTTAATATCATTGTGTATTACTATAATGCATAGTTAACTTCAAAGTCAAAAACAACTAAAGATATGAACCGGCTGAAAAAAATAATTTCATTTTTACATCTGGAGTTTTAGTGCAGAATTCGGTGGCATGGACAATTAGTTGAGATGGGTCTATTTGCTCCATTAATTGGAATGACAAAAAAACGTACATTTGCTCAAAAATATATATATAGAATACTCGTAGCAGGATAAAAATAATAGTTAGAATAATAGTAATACAATTCAATATTATTATTAATATTAATATTAATTCGGATTATTCTTTTTATTCTTTTTATTCGTTTATTCGTTCATTTCATTTTATTTGTCCATATAAAAAATAAAATACGGAAAAGATAGAATAAACCATATTAAATATGGAAAATATGGAATTTTAGATAATAAACAACATGTATGGAATATGCAAATTTTCGTATCAATTTCTATATCAAAAGTACGGAATAAATACGGAAATAATACTAATAATAATACTGAATAAAATATATTTTGTTTAATTAATGGTAAAACGTATTTTTAGTTACTGAAATCATACAGAAAGTTATATTTAACAGTATGAACTATACATGAAGTCGAAATTAAAGCTCAAAAGTTGAAATATTTTGACTTGAGAGATCAAAGGTCGAATTAAAAGTCGAAATGGTCGAAACATTAATCAAAACTTTAAATCGCCATAACTCGGTCAATATCTGGCTGTTTTCGATAAAACAACTACATTCAAATTCTCTTCATGAGGTATCTAATTTCTAAAATCCAGATCACTGCTTAATAAGATATTTTTGTTTACTGTATATCTTACAATAAATCGATATCATGACATTAAAACACCATTGTTCAAATTGCCTTTATGTGGCTATTCTAATTAATGATGTGACCCGAAACTCCAAGTTTAGGAAAAACCAGAAACAGAAACCTTCCGAAACTAGTTTAGGGAATTTTTAAAATCCTAAACCTTGCTGAAACCCAAAACTGTTGCCAAAACTGAAATATATAACTCTTAATTTAAAAACTGAGTTAAAAAAGAAGTTTAAGGAACTTTTAAATTCTGAAACTTTCAAAAAGAAACCTTTCCTTCATTAGAAAACTTCAATAAAAACCGTAGTGAAATTTACCAAAAAAAATTTTTTTTTATTTGAAATTAAATTTTGATAACAAAATTAAAATATTTTATTTTTAATAATTTTTTTTCTTCCTATCTCTAAATTCAAATTGTTTCCTTGGTAAATCATCACAATCATTTTTTCTTTTCAAGTTGGTTTTTTTATTATTGTTGTTAGTTGGAATATTGTTATAGTCATCTAGATCATTACTATTGTTACTATTATTATTAAAATTGTCTTGATCATAAATAATATCATCATGGTTGTTATTATCAATATCATTATTATTTATATAAATATAACTATTTGCAATATCAGCTTCACTTTCTAAATTAACTATATTATTCATATTGATAATATCACTATCATCAAATGAGTTCAAAAAACTATTCATCAAATCATTTGAATTGTATTTGTAATTTTCATCAATTAGTTGATTTATATTATTTTCTACATCTAAGTGAATTTGGCTTCAGTTACCATCAGTAAATATAGAATTATTTAAGTCAATTATTTCCTCTAATACAAAATTATTTTTTTTATCAATCTTGTAATTAGGTTCCACTTCATAAAAATCACTCTCTGATTCACTTATGTCATCTGACACACTATTCTCCTCCTCCACCATCATCCAACCAAAGCTTTGCATTTGATATTAAGTTTTTCAATTCTTCATCTGAGATATTTTGACCAACATATTTTAATTCTTTCTCAATATTAGATCAATGATAGGAATATATTTTCAACATATTTTCAATTGTTGTGATATTTAAAATTTTCCTTTTTTTCCCATAATACCAATCTAGGATTGAAAAAGACCTTTCACAAGTTGCTGAATGTGGAACCACTGAAAATAATTTTATTGCAAATTCTTGCAAATAATCATGATCTTCTTCACACCACCAATTTAAAACATTACCACTTTCAAAACTGAAAGGTGGATTATATGATGAATTTCTTAATTTATAATTTCTCAATTGTTCCAATAAAATATTTTGTTCTCTTTCTGATCTTTTTAATTTTTGGAAATGATTCCCCATGAATTCAACAATTATTTTAAAGTGACCTTTTTTAAGACCAGTTCCTAAAAAAAATAATAAATAAATGAGTATTCCTAATTTACAAACATTAATATTAACAAATATCTAACCTTTGTATCCAGAGTGCTTTTTTAGGCTTTCTCCAGTAATATTTAACGTTTTAATATAGCTTTCAAGCAAATTGCTGGCTTGGTATTATTTTTTAAAAAAATTGATAATTTTTCTGCACTTGAAGACTAAAGTTTTTGCAAATTCATGTTTTAGTAAATCTTTTGTTATAAGATTAAAACAATGAGCAATACACCTAATGTTCAATATTGATGGATATTTAGTAGTTATTAACTCTCTGGCAAGTTAACATTACTAGCACCATCTGTTACAACAGCTGACAGTTTTTCTACACCAATTTCTAAAATAATTGATCCAATTTGATCAGACAAAACAGGGTTGGCAAATGTGCGGTCCATTGATGGTCTATTGGTGGTCCATTGGGTCCATTAATGTAACACTTTAACCATATTTAGTATTTTATTAATGGCAATGGGCCAGTCCAAAATCCATCTGTTCTCAATGGACCAGTCAATTTGCCAACCCTGAGACAAAATAACTCCAGTATGAGAACTTCCTGAAAAATCACATAACTTGTATGTATAACTTTTTCTTTGAGGAGTTATAACAACAAAATTCCAGAATGACTTGTTCTTAGGATTGGACCACCCATCTAGAGCTGGATATGGTTATTAATTAACAATTATAAAATTAATTAATAAAAATAAAACACCTAATAAGAATAAATTGTTAAAAATATGTATTTACCAAGAGTCATATTTTATTTTTTTCAATATCCTGGTCTATTTTGCTATTCACATGAATCACTTCATCATTTAAATAATTAATGGATAATTTTTTACAATTTGGTGGTTGATAAGCTGGATGTAATTTTTTTAAAAAATCTACAAAATATGGGTTCTCAATAGTGTTATATGGAATGCCAGCCATTACAAAAGCATGAATTAAAGATTTATTGATGCTTTCTTCTCTCTTTTGTAAGGGTTGTACTTTCATAGAATTCAGATAAAGAAACTTGATGATCATTTGAATTTTTGTTATTGGATGTTGAATAATGAGATGAGAATCTTGAGCTTTTTTTTTGATTGTTTCTAGACCTGCCCTTTTCAATTATTGAATTCAAATAATATTTACGAATTTCCTCATCACTTGCTAAATGCTTTTCAAGAACATTTGGATATCCAACTTCAAACAGTAATTGCACTTAGCATTGTAATGGCCTTTATTATTTTTAATTTCAGGTCCTTTTAAAAAATGTTCCCAAACTTGAGATAATGGTCTTCCACCACCTCATATTTATCTCCCAACTCTTTAATTGAAGTTTGATGTTTGGATATATTGGATCATCTAAAAACATAACAAAATAGTATGTAATAAAAAATAATGTTATGTAAAAGCGATTTAATAAATATTAAATATAGGATATAATATCAGTATGCGATGAAAAAATTATTAATAAACAATTAAATATAAAAAATACAATCTTTGTCATCAATTAAAACATGTTTTTTGTTTGAATTTTTGTTCATGCAGTAAAAAATGATATCATGTAAAAATGATTTAATAAATAATTGAATATAAAAAATACAATATTCACTATATATTTGTTCACCAACTCCAAGTTATCATCCGATTACAGAGGTTTGCTTCTATGTTGAAATATGAGCATGTAATAAAGAGTAAGGTAAAAATAATTAATAGTTAACATTAAATATGAAAAAATAATCTTAGTACAGCGCGTAATGTGATAAGCCATCGAATCTACCTAACATACATGTGGATCTTTTCAATTGAAGATAAATCCTTCTATTAGAAACACATTAAACAATTAGAATAATAAATAAGAAGAAAGTATATTAAATAACATTATGTTGTACTATTATAATTATACCATTGCCTTTGTCTATTTCGAGAAAAAAAAAATAACTGTTTACCGCTTTTGCTGATTCCTAGAAAGCTTTATAATCGAGTTATCTAACCATGCTACATATTAAATATATAAAAGAAACTTCAACTAAAAAATGTTTTTAAAAATTCCAAGTACTCTTGTACAACAAAAATTGAGATCTTGAAATATTAATATTCTTTATATTTACATTTTACACATTACGTAACCATATACGCAGAATCAAAAATATATATACCAGTACCTTTTCAGTATTGGTATTAGTATTAATATGTTGCAAATTTCATACTTTATATGCGGAATCGAAAACGTACCTTTTCTATTTTCAGTATTAGTATTAGTATTATAATTAGTATGTTACAAATTCCGTACTTCACATTAAATTTGAAAAGGGGTAATAATAATAGTAATTTTTCAAAACCGTATAATAATAAGAAATACATTGATTTCGTATTAGGATATATATTTTTAAGCACGTATTTAACACATTAATTCCGTATTTTATTTTTCGTGGGGCATTAATTCGAATACTCAATCAAATTCATAACAAATAAACAAATAATTCGAATAAACCTTATTCTAACCCATTAAATGGTAATAATGACGAGATATTATAATAACAATAGTAATAATAACAATGATAGTAGCAGTAGTAATAATACCGGCAAGCTTGGTATTAGTAATATTTGAAAAGTGTTTTAATCAACTGGAATTTATTTAAGTTCTTTGTCGGTTAGAAGTTGTTAGGCTTAGCTGACCAAGGTTTTTCTATCGGCTAACATCACTACTGGAAATGAGTCTTGGAGCAAACTTAGGGACAAACATTACAATAGTCTTCCAGATAATTATATATGAACAAAACAATAATTGAAAATACGCTAACGTTCTGCCTCAATACAATCCTATCAGAATATTCTGTGGTTGCATTCTACAGTATAACCCTTGTTTCAACGGATTTTAAAAATTTTCGTTGCACATTAATATTAACAGATGAATGTTTTTAATTACGTCAAATGTTTTTACTTTAGTCAAATCGCCAAAAAGAGAAACTACCTTTAGTCAATACCAATACTTTAGTTACGTCAATGACTAACTAAAGCCATAAGTTTTGACATATAATCTTTAATTAATTTCTACAACATGATTGAAGAATTTTGAAATTAAGATTACCAAATTCTATCATTTAGTCAAATCATAACTTCAATAATAGCCTCACTAAACCAATTGTATATAAAATCAATGACATAGTAATCAAAATTCAGGTATTATTAGTATTATTTGTAATTAAATAAAATTATGTGAAAGTATTTTATTATTAAGTTATTAAAAATATTAAAATTGAAATTTTGAATTTCTACAAACTTGTACTAAAATAATGGTGGTGACAAAATGTTGCATATCTCAACAAATGTTGAAAGATATGTGAAGATGGGTTTGCATGATTCCAAAGCATAATTAAATGGGTTAGATTCATTTGAAATAAAAAAATTTATATAGCCAATTTTTTGTAAAGCTAATTCACATCTTTTTTTAAAATTTTCACAAAATTTTTGACTTGAAAAATTTTGACGTGAAATTTTTTAATAATTATTCTAACGCAAAGATGTAAATAATAATTATACAAAAAATCACATCAGATTGCAGTTTAAGTTCTCATGATCACATATATAAAATTACATGCTTCTATATTTTCGATTATTTTTGAAAAAAAATATATAAACCTTGGGTCAGACAGCCATTATCCTGCTTATGTTCAACAGTACTCATTCTTTAGGCAGTTTGAAAATATGTTCAACGGTATGAAAGGGAATATTCGCTTTCTGATGTATTTTTCCTCGATGAATGAGCATTGTCAGGCCAGTAATGTAAAATAACGGGAAACATTTGAAGGTAGGCCTCAATACTCGAGTAACACGTGCTAATAAGATTCCAGAGACAGAAAATAGAAATAGACGAAGCCTTTTATTTTATAAATGTTTTCAATGGGAGATAAGGAAGCTGGTAAAGGTGATAAACATTTTATTATTATTTTTTGTTACACACTGTAAATCATGATCGATTGAGAAAATGCTTTAATAAGGTTTCCCAACTGCGGTAGTATCTATAAAAGGTCTGATTATTTCTTACATTAAAACAATTTTTAATTCAAAATAATAAATAATTCTTTTTTTAGAAAATTTTTAATGATATAAAGACAAACCAGCACTTAAAGTATCGAATTCGTTTCATCAAAAATTTGATATCAGCGAATCATTTGTTGTGGTTTCGATGAAATTTATATGAATTTTGACTTAAATTTCATACTGGAGAGAAAAGAAAAAACATCATTTCATCGAATACTTGAATTGCTATTATATTCTTAGATACTTTATTTCTAGATTTTTTATTATATACATATTATAATTCTCCTGGCTTAAAAAAAAACAAACAAATTTGGATTTCAGGTGTCTGAAATTCTTTCTTTACTTATTATTTACTTACTTACAAAGATGTTTAAGAATCTTTTACTCACAGTATTGTTCCTTTTACTGCTTGTTAATGGTGTCATTTCTCAAAATACGGTAGTAGGAAAAGCATTTGATCGCATTGCTATCTTTGTTTTTGAGAATAACGATTATAATAGTAAGTTTACAGTCCAATACTAAAATTTTCAATTCCTTACGTATGTTGTGCGTGAAAATCAAATTTGGGTGGATGTTTGGATACAAAAGCCTGATGGGCTAATGAATTTGCACTAATTCATGCACAACAAAACTACTGATGTGCTTTCTCCTGACGCTTAATTGCATTTTTATTGTGATTAGTTGTCATTAACGATCCCAACTTTGCAGACTTTGCCAAGAAAGGTTTGCTGCTCACCAACTACCATGCTGTAAGTATTTGATGTTTTAATTTACTCTTTATATTTTGAAACAGAACTAATGCTCGTTTTTTTTTTTTTTTTTATCAGGTAACTCACCCATCACAACCAAACTATATAGCAATGATTGCTGGAGATGTCCTCAATGTTGTCGATGATAACAATATTGACCTGCTTGATAAAAATATTGTTGACCTTTTGGAAGTTAAAAACATCTCGTGGAAATCATATCAAGAGAATGTAAAAATTTTTTACTGTTCTAATTAGTTGTGGTTATTATTTTTCTAATGGCCATGTTAAACCATAATAGTATCCAGGTGGTTGCTTCCTTGGTGAGACCAATGGGGTACTTCACCAATATACACGATCGCATAATCCATTCATATCATTTCTTAGTATTTCGTAAGTTTTTCAAAGTAGTTTTTCTATGAAAAATAAAAGTGTTAATATTGCATTAAATAATATTAATAATTTTTTATAGCAAAAATCCAGATCTATGTGCCAAAATTGTCAGTTCTGACCAACTTAATAAGGATATTGATGCAGGAACCTTGCCACAATATATCTTTTACTCCCCCAACTATGATGATGATGGTCATGACACTAATGTTACTTTTGCTGGAATCTATGCAGCTAATCTGATTAGCCCACTTCTTGCAGATCCACGTTTCATTACCAACACCTTGGTAGTGATAACCTATGATGAATCCACAAAAGAAAATCCAACAAATCTCATATATACTGCATTGCTTGGACCCGCAGTTGAAGGAAAGGCTGGACAGTTGGATGACACTTACTACACACATTACTCTCTCCTTAAGACTTGTGAATTAAATTGGAATTTGGAGTATGTTGAAATGCCAGTCATATATATATAATTGTTTCATGAAAATAATCAGTTTTCGCATTAAAATTTACACTCTTTTTTTATCAATACAATTTACAGCTCATTGGGAAAAAACGATACTACAGCAGAGGCATACAAGATCTTTAGTGTGTAAAGGTCTAGCACAAATCTTGATTATTTTTTTCCTTTTTTTCCCTTTTTTCTATTTATATCTATCTTTTGCACCATAATTTAAGAACTTTTCTCCATGCATTCCATTAAATAATTGTGAATTTATTAATGCTAATTAAACGTCAAAAACACCTGAAATATTTTATTTGTATTTTCTAGATGGCATCAATTGATATGTATCATTAACAAAAAAGGCATCACCTTAATAGATAATCCTTATTCACCCTTTAAATGTCCCTATTACTGTTGCTACTGCTAGAGATGTGACATGTGCATGAAAAAAAAAAAATGCAACACATCATACACAATTCTATTCAAAAAAAAGTGTGAATTTTTAATTTTTACCAAGTTTATTATTGATAGCATTTTTAAGAAAATGTCAAAATCAAAAATTTGGCCTCATTTGTTAAACTGGGTAGAATTGATAATTTCAGCACCTATTTCATCAGCTTTGCTTCTAAAAGGAATTGGCTTGCTTTTTTTTTTATAAATGATAAAAAGAGAAATAAACTATTAACACCTGAATGTGTGTATTAAATTGGTATATATTTATTTTAATTACAAATTAAAATGTCCAAAAAATACCAACAATGATAATGTAGATATTACAATTGATGGTGATGGAAATGTGGGAAGTAAAAATGTTAAAAATGATGATGATGATGATTAAACAATTAGAATAGAAAGTGGTGGAGAAGAAGGCAGCGGTAGTGATAATAATATTGATTGAAAATTGTATTTAGATATTTTTTTTTATATTTTTTTTTTTTGAGATACACTTTGAGTAATTTGACGAAAGTGACGAAATCAACAAAACAATAAAATAAACCAATTATTTTGTAGATTTTAAATTATTATTATGGAGTAAATTCTAATTCACCCAATTCACCAATTCCTTCTCAATCATCATGTAATATGAATTTGCAAACATTAAAATTAGATAATATACCTGAATGCTCATTTATCTAACAATAATCAAGAATTAGCTACAGGACGTCCTGTGTTTGATGTATGATTACACTCCATCAGAATAGTAAATGAAGAATCATTTCAACAATCAGAATTATCAGATGATTCTACAAAATTTTGAAGTTATGAAACCAGCAATAGATGTGAAGCAGCAATTCCTACTAAAATTCTGCATACAAAAATTAAGTATCCAACCAAGAAACATGATTTACGATGTAAAAAAATTTAAAATTAAATTTTTGTTTTAATAAAATTGAATTTTATATTTTCGTCATCTTTATCACAATTTGACTTTTGACTTTACCCTTTGTCGCTTTTCCTCACTTTCGTCTCATTTCGTCATAAGTGCCCCATTTGACGAAATACTTTTTACACTCCAAAATACTTTCGTCAACCAACCTTGGTATACATTCTAAAATTTTTTGCAATGCATAAATGCGCATAAAATTTTGAAATCTCATGCAATTTCCCATCTCTACCTATTGCCCATTAACATTTTCTTATTTAGTTTAATAGTTGATTCTTTAAACATTGTAAATTATTGCAGAGTTCAAATATTTGAAATATATTAACCAACCCTCTGAGACCTAAAGGTAAAGCTCCTCACAGGCTGGCTTGCAAGCCAGGTTGCTTCAAGAAGTTCAAGAATATTAATTGGATCAAGGTTATTAATATCAATGGCTTAATAAAAAAAAACCAGTTAAATTAAATTAAAACCTACATTAAAAGAACTTTGGAGATATTTTCTTTTTCAAATAAAATGATTCCATTTTCAACTCTTCTTATCCAACTATTTGATAGAGCAGCATTAAAATACAAAGATTTGGCTTTCAAAGTGTTAAAATGAGCTTCAAAAGTTTTAATATCAATCATCATCCTTTCCAATTTTAATAATAATCAGATTTATTGATAATGTGGTTTAATGGGAGAGCATTATTGTTAATTTGATAAATTTATTAAATAGTAGTTAAACAATTTTTTTACAAAGTAAAATCCATAATGAAATCAGTAAAATAGGCATATCGTGGCAAATCAAGATGTAACTGGTTTAGAAGGTATTTAATTATTTATAAACTTTTTTTAATGGAAAAGTTAGTGATGTTGGCTGGCAGAAAACCTTAGCCGACCAATAAATTTAAATAGTTTACTAGACAAATAACGTAATTTTTAAAATCGGGCTTTTTATTATTTTTACCTGTTTCTTTTTCTTTGTAAATAAATCCCAGTTGATGAAAAACATTCTCAGATGGTACTAAGCTTGCTGGAATTAATCCCAATTCGTCACCGTTGTATTGGTTCACTATTTTCTAGGATTTCTATTCAAATAAGATTTATTTGAATTATTTGTTTTATTCGTTATGAATTTGAGTATTCGAATTACATTGAAATAAAACGAATAATTCAAATAAAATGAATAATAAGATAGTAATATATTGAAGAGAATGAAAATGATAAGTCCAGTAATTAATACTAGACGATATTTATTATATCATTGTCCTTTTCTTCTGTGACCTCCTTTAGTAAGCAAAAAATAAAATAAACAGGCAAATCTCTCTATAATGAACTTCCATTTTGTCCTGATTCTCTTTATATAACAAACATATTAGTAAACACTCTCTATAATGAACAAAGCAGAAAAATTATACATAGGGACAGAAGGTTAATTATAGAGAGAATGAACTGTATTTTCTTCTTATTTAAAAATAAATTGTCAATGTTTCACATTTTTTTTTATAGTAAAAAAAACTTCCACGAAGAGCAGGTAGAACAAATAGTATATCTAGGTAGATGGAGATAGATTGTTTGGTATCTTGTTATTGACTCCCTCAACTCAACTCAAACAACTCTTTTTTAAATTACAAATAAAAAGAGAATATACCTTAAATAACTGATACTAACATGAAATGTATAGTGTATCTCTAACCCCATATTCGTAAAAAATGTATGCAGAAAAAAAGTTGTAATGGTGATCTTTTAAATACAAAGTCATATCCGTGTAACTTGAAAAAAAATTTATATAAAGGATGGAAGACGATTTCGAAGTTGCAAGAGGTATCTATTCCCAAATGTAGTTTTCCACTATTTCCCCTCATTTAAAAATAATGTCTCGTTTGAAGTCCTCCCTCACTTGTGAAAGATGTTTCTTCTTTTTCCTGTACATACCTACCTTATGCACATAAATTTATCTATTAAATATAACTTCTTAACCCAGCATTATCCGTTTTTGTGGAAGGTCCTGATCATACAGGTAAAAACGCGGCTTATTTTGAAGAATGGATAAAAAATTAAATTATTTTTTTTTTTGAAATAGAAATGATATATCATTATAGCAAATGTTCCTACAGTAAAAAATCCAGAAGATGTAATTATAGAAGTCGGACCAACAAATAAGATTGTTTATATATCAGGTGTTTTAAATGAAACTCCTTTACAACAAACAGTATCTCAATAGACAAAAATATCTTCAAAAATGGGACTTGGTTTGAACATATAATTTCACTTCCACTAAAGTGAGTTTTTTAATATTGTATTCATTCATAATCATACTATCATTATATTATTAAATTTATAATAAATTTTCTTTATTAAAAATAAAAGAAATTAAAAGGTTAAAAAAATTATTCTTCATAGGGGATTGTTAAAAATCATTATAAAAAAAAAACAATCAAAAAATATGAAAGATTCATTTCAGATAATGATTAATTAAAAATTTTTTTTTTTTTTTGAGGTTTAAAAATGTATATAATTTTTCAATTTATGATCATTTTTATTATATAGATTTTATTATTTTGTGTTTGTTTCGTTTATATTTATATATATATATATAAATTAGAATTATAGATATATATTTGTTTTTTTTTTCTGTATATTAAAAAAGGTGGTGGTGGTGATTACTGAACTATTACTCGCTACTATAGTTTTGAGAAAATAAAAGTAATTAGGTAGGGTTTTTATTTGTAATACAATTTCTTGTTTGAGAGTTTTATTGGACAAAAGAGATTTTTTGCCTTTTTAGAAAATCTATATTGCAGTAAATAAATATTGAATTTAGAATTCCCATTTATCGAATAATTTGGCCAAGAAATCTTAATTTCTCTAAAGAAAGGTTTCTATGATTTGTTTTCAATTTTTACACAATCTCATTAATAATGATATTTATATTTATGTTTATCAGTAGTATCTGTAACGGGATTCTAGAAAGTTACAAAGTTAAACAGAAGAAAATTTGTATAGTTCATTTGTATATAAAACTATAAATCTGTTTGCTAAAATTTCACTTATCGATTTTATTTTCTTTTGTCATCAATCTGTATGAATTTTTTTATTTATAAATTTTTTTAATCAATTATTGAAAAAAAATGGATCCGCCTCTATTAAACGAGCAGCAAATTTACAATAAATATTCCAATCAACTTTCCAATTGTTTGCTCGAATCTCATTATCCACAACAGATTCAAATATATCCAACATTATTGGATAATAGTCAAATATCATATTTACAACCAAATTCTCAATTACCAGATTACCCATGTCTAGATGTATATCCTTTTAATGAACAACCGGGTCATACGGCACCACAGTCCGAATTGAAACCAGATACATTTAGTATTCGAACAAATAGACGACCGAAAAAGAAGGAAGCACGAAAAACAAAACCTTACATAAAGCGCACGCATTCTCGTATTGCATGCGATCCATGCCGCAGAGTACGTTTAAGGTGTGTAAAAGAAGAAAAGAATTCTACTTCTTGCAATAGGTGCATTGAAGAGAAAAGAATATGCATTTTTGATGAAAATCCGGGAAAACGAGGTCGCAAACTTAATAGCAAAAATAAACCTAAGGTAAAAAAAAATCAAATTTTTTCAATATTCTTTCTTTGTTTCAAATAATCATCTATTTCTTTAATTAATAGGAAAAAGAAACAAAAAATTGTGATGTCAATGTTGCTGATAATATTGTCAAAGTTACTAAATCATATTATCATGGTAACAATGGAGTAATATCTGATAATCTTAATTTAAAAGGTACTTCTAGTATTTTGAATCCAAAAATAAGACAAACACAAGGTAATAGCAATGATAAAAATAAAAATAAAAATAAAAATAAAAATAAAAATAGTACTAATGATAATATATACGTACATATTTCCGTAAATCTAGTTAATATTGTCGTTGACACTCATATCAATATTGATGGTATTTATAAGTAATGTAAATTAATTAACTAATTAACTAATTTATTCGTTCGTTCTTACTAACAAAAAAAAATTTTTTTATATATGTAATTGTTTCCAACAACTATTGTTTCAAGATAATATCTATAATCATCAAACCAATACCCAGCAAGAAACAAATCTTGATCATTATGATACTTTTATGTATGAGGCGGCGGATGTACTGAAGCTACTATCACGACTATGAGATAAAATATATTGGTGATAATAGTCAGTAAATACATGATTATCTGCTGGATTACGCGGGCGCGAGAAATGCTAAAAAAAAAATGTTTTTATTTTTTTCCTTTGCTTTGGTCGAAATTACATTTTAAAAAATATTCTGTTCTTTTTCTATCAAAATTTCATTTATATTTATTCTATAGTTGGCTCGGTCTAAAGACCTAAAAATAGCATTATTGGTTGATAGAATAGGTCTTTAGTTTTAACGTAATAATTTGTTGTAGAGTTCTACATGTAAAGATGCGTATGGCAGTGTTGAAATTTGATTAGATGATTCCAAATGTAGCCATAATCTGAATTTTATTATATTAAAAGAATGGTTGACGAAATTGACGAAATTGAAATTGACAAAATTGAAGTGATTAATTAAACCGACCAAATTTTCATACAAAGATATGGCTAAATATTGATTTTAAATATATCAGTATGTCACCAAAAAAAAAGATTTAGATTCGGAATCCTTTGTCTTATCATCATAGTAAAAAAGAATTGAGAATAATCATCATGGTAAATATCCAATGTTACATATTGAATTGCTATATAAAATGCCATGTACAACACAATTAATAAAATTATTAAACCTTAGTTTCTCAAAAATTGTCAGTATGGTATAATCATAACGTTATGAATATCTTATACTAGCAATAATTCTTTGGTTTTGAGGTAGTGCCGTTGGTTTGACGCGATATTGAATAGTAAAATATTTTTTCTTGGCGGAGCAAATAAATTTTTTTTTAGCCAGTTACACACATACAATAAGACATACACGTAAGCTCGTTAAGCCGGATGCAACAATCAATTGCTAAAAATAAATGACCGACCTATTGAGTTTACTTGAGAGAAGGCTGATATGGTAATTACATATAGCCAGAAATTTTCCCATCACTATCCTTGTCCAAAGTTGATGCATAATGTTAATATATTGGCTGAAATATTTGCACTATATAGTTCTCAATGTCACTAAAAATTATCATTTGGTGATCAGCAAGTATCGCAAGCACCTGATTTGATTGGCTAAATAATTTCGTCAATCTCATCAAAAAATCCTTGGCGATAAATATGAATTTTGTCATTTACAATTTCTAAACATGAACATTCCAAGCAATTAAATCTTTATTTAATTTATTCAACTTAACACTTTTTTATTAAATATCATAAAAATCAAAATTACTTTCACTTTTATTTGATAATCCTGATTCCTCACTCAAATTGTCAGTTTCTTTTTCAATAAAAATTTTCGTGTGTTTCATCAACTTCTTCGATGTCATTTCCCATCAATTTCTTCAATTGAGTTGTCATTTATCTGTATGCTAGTATTTGAAGTATCAAAATGTTCTCCAAAATAATTTCTTTTGGAGAAAGGCATAAATGGTTTTCACGTCTAGATATTGAACTAGCACATTGATATTTTGCACTTTGGGCGAGTCATATTATTATGGAAGCGTTTTAATTTGGGAATGATCTATGTGTTGTACACACTAATTTTTTTTTTTTTTAATTTTTTAACATTAAAGTTAAGTTTGGATGGAAGGTCTGTGTTCAGTTCGTTATGAAAAACTTGTCAATCTTGACCAAAGAAATACAAATAAGGAAATTGTTTGCATAAAAAACTATAAACCTTTCTTATATATATGTATTATATATATATATATATTCGAATTTTTAATTGAATTTAATTGGATAGAATTAAGAGTGATTATTATTGGTATATATATTTTAAAAAGGAAAAAAAT